TCTCCCTGGACCCTGCATTCACTATATCCGCTCTCCCCGGACCCTGCATTCACTATATCTGGTCTCCCTGGCCCTGCATTCACTATATCTGCTCTCCCTGGACCCTGCATTCACTATATCTGGTCTGCCCGGACTCTGCATTCACTATATCTGGTCTGCCCGGACCCTGCATTCACTATATCTGGTCTCCCCGAACCCTGCATTCACTATATCCGCTTTCCCCGAACCCTGCTCTCACTATATCCGGTTTCTCCCCGGACCCTGCATTCACTATATCTAGTCTCCCCGGACCCTGCATTCACTATATCTGCTCTCCCTGACTCTGCATTCACTATATCTGGTCTCCCCGAATCCAGCATTCACAAAATACCAATCTCCCCGGACCCTGCATTCACTATATCTGGTCTCCCCGGACCCTGCATTCACTATATCTGGTCTCCCCGGACCCTGCATTCACTATATCTGGTCTCCCCGGACCCTGCATTCACTATATCCGGTCTCCCCGGACCCTGCATTCACTATATCCGCTCTCCCCGGACCCTGCATTCACTATAGCTGCTCTCCCCGGACCCTGCATTCACTATATCTGGTCTCCCCGGACCCTGCATTCACTATATCCGCTCTCCCCGGACCCTGCATTCACTATATCCGCTCTCCCCGGACCCTGCATTCACTATACCTGGTCTCCCCATGCAGTGTGTTTTTTGATGCATTTTAATCTGCCCAGTGACAAGTTGGTATAAAACACGTATTGGGATTTATTTTTTTTTAGCAGAGACATGGAGCAGATTACATTTTGGCCTAATTTATGATGAAATTTGATTTTTAAAAATTTTTTTTTACTGTACATGTTTAATAGCAAAAAATATATATAAATGCTTTTTCAAACTTGTTCTTTTTTTGTTTATGACACAAAAAAGAAAAAACCGCACAGGCGACCAAATACCACCTAAAGAAAGCTCAATTTGTGGGAAAAAAGGACATAACATAAATTTCATTTGGGTGCAACATTGCATAACCGCGCAATTGTCAGTTAAAGTACCGCAGCGTCATATCACAAAAAAAATAGCCTGGTCAGGAAGGGGGGTAAATCCTCTGGAGGGCGAGGGGTTAAAAATTGCAAATATAAAAACATATCTATAATAGAAAAATAAAAGCAGAAAAGTAAGCGCAAACTATGGATAGCTTATTACAACTGTGATGTAACTGCTTACAAATATGCAATTTTTATATAGGTGTACAGTAAAAACTCAAACTTTTTTTTTCAACTTTTGCAAAACTCATATTGCTTCACTTTAAAGACAGAGGAAACATAAAACATGAAAAATTAAAAAAAAAAAAAAAAAAGTAAAAGTGTACAATTAATAAAACTAAAATAGGTAATTTTATAACAAAAAAAAAGTAAGGGTGAAATTAAATAAATCCTCAGTGGTTTTTAGCTGAACACATTGAGCACAATAAAATAGACAGTACACTATTTGTTAAAATTCTTTCCCCAGCACTTACAGTTTACAACTTTCAATGCTGCTGGCTCCTGCTGTCTCGGTGCTGCTTTCCTGAATTTTCAGTCTTCACAGGAAAGTTATAAGTGGACAGTGCAGTCTGAAGCTGGAAGAAGGGACAGGGAAGGAGGAGGGAGGAGTATTCTAAGTGCTCGCAGTAAGAGCTCACTCTCAGCACACAAACCACATAGCATTTTGAGTCAAGTGTGAATAAGCCCTAACTGTCACTTTTACTGGAACGAGTGGTCTACTACAGGAAGTGAGGAAAAATAATGGATCTAGTGGCAGGATCAACAGGTAAATATATATATATATATATATATATATATATATATATATATATATATAAAAAAAGCTCTGGCTATATATATATATATATATATATATATATATATATATAATAGCCATTGCTGATGTTCTTCTGAAAATGTTAGGTGACTGGCTATTGTTCTGATCCCGACTTCCCTCTACACACTTGTGTCTTACAAGCTTCTCTATTAATGTATTATTGGATCACACCCAGTTTCACACATAATTGCTGATATTTTGCACATATAACAAGGATAAAGGAGAGCCTTTTGCTTGTTGGGCCTGGGGGGACCATCTATGAATTTTTCCCACTAATCACACTTACTCATACATGAGATATATCGATGACATTTTTTGTAATCTGATTTGGTTCAATGGCTTTATTACAGCTATTCATCATCATCTTGGAAAGCGGTTGTAATTTATAATTCACTTGAGAATGCAATCCATCCTCTTTGTGTTTTCATAAATGATGAGATAAACAACTTCACTCATTATGAGTATTTATCATGCCCTTATAATGAGGTCTTGGCTGTCTGTCTGTGCCATGCTACAAATGGAAGCGCTCAACCTGGGAGTCACCTTACAGTAATCTTTGTCATATGTGAAAATATCCAGCTCGGCCCTGGAGATGGTGTTTCCGGGCAAGGTTTAAATGGAATAAAAAAAAATGGATTATACTTTGTAGATTTGAATGGGGGTCATGGAAATACATTATAGTTTGAGGGCAACCAAAATATAAAAGTAATGACTACAAGTACACTGCCAAGCCACAGCCATTAGGTAGGACCAGAATGACCACCAACATAAGGAGCATTCTTCTCACTGACCACCAATGTAAGGTGCATTCTTCCTACTGATCACCAATGTAAGGAGCATTCTTCCCACTGATCACCAATGTAAGGGACATTCTTCCCACTGATCACCAATGTAAGGGACATTCTTCCCACTGATCACCAATGTAAGGAACATTCTTCCCACTGATCACCAATGTAAGGTGCATTCTTCCTACTGATCACCAATGTAAGGGGCATTCTTCTCATTGACCACCAATGTAAGGAGCATTCTTCCCACTGATCACCAATGTAAGGGGCATTCTTCTCATTGACCACCAATGTAAGGGACATTCTTCCCACTGACCACCAATGTAATGAACATTCTTCCCACTGATCACCAATTTAAGGAGCATTCTTCCCACTGATCACCAATGTAAGGAGCATTCTTCCCACTGATCACCAATGTAAGACACATTCTTCCCGCTGACCACCAATGTAAGACACATTCTTCCCACTGACCACCAATGTAAGGAGCATTCTTCCCACTGATCACCAATATAAGGAGCATTCTTCCCACTGATCACCAATGTAAGGAACATTCTTCCCACTGATCACCAATGTAGGGAGCATTCTTCCCACTGATCACCAATGTAAGGGACATTCTTCCCACTGATCACCAATGTAAGGGACATTCTTCCCACTGATCATCAATGTAAGGAGCATTCTTCCCACTGGCCACCAATGTAAGGGGCATTCTTCCCACTGATAACCAATGTAAAGGGCATTCTTCCCAGTGATCACCAATGTAAGGAACATTCTTCCCACTGACCTCCAATGTAAGGAACATTCTTCCCACTGATCACCAATGTAAGGGACATTCTTCCCACTGACCTCCAATGTAAGGGACATTCTTCCCACTGATTCCCAATGTAAGGAACATTCTTCCCACTGATCATCAATGTAAGGGACATTCTTCCCACTGATCATCAATGTAAGGGACATTCTTCCCACTGATCATCAATGTAAGGGACATTCTTCCCACTGATCACCAATGTAAGGAGCATTCTTCCCACTGACCTCCAATGTAAGGAACATTCTTCCCACTGATCACCAATGTAAGGAACATTCTTCCCACTGACCTCCAATGTAAGGAACATTCTTCCCACTGATCACCAATGTAAGGGACATTCTTCCCACTGATTCCCAATGTAAGGAACATTCTTCCCACTGATCACCAATGTAAGGAACATTCTTCCCACTGATCACCAATGTAAGGGACATTCTTCCCACTGACCTCCAATGTAAGGGACATTCTTCCCACTGATTCCCAATGTAAGGAACATTCTTCCCACTGATCATCAATGTAAGGGACATTCTTCCCACTGATCATCAATGTAAGGGACATTCTTCCCACTGATCACCAATGTAAGGAACATTCTTCCCACTGATCATCAATGTAAGGGACATTCTTCCCACTGACACCAATGTAAGGAGCATTCTTCCCACTGACCTCCAATGTAAGGAACATTCTTCCCACTGATCACCAATGTAAGGAACATTCTTCCCACTGACCTCCAATGTAAGGAACATTCTTCCCACTGATCACCAATGTAAGGGACATTCTTCCCACTGATTCCCAATGTAAGGAACATTCTTCCCACTGATCACCAATGTAAGGAGCATTCTTCCCACTGATCACCAATGTAAGGGACATTCTTCCCACTGACCACCAATGTAAGGGGCATTCTTCCCACTGATCACCAATGTAAGGAGCATTCTTCCCACTGACCACAAATGTAAGGAGCATTCTTCCCACTGATCACCAATGTAAGGGACATTCTTCCCACTGATCATCAATGTAAGGAACATTCTTCCCACTGACCACAAATGTAAAGAGCATTCTTCCCACTGATCACCAATGTAAGGGGCATTCTTCCCACTGACCACCAATGTAAGGACCATTCTTCCCACTGATAACCAATGTAAGGGGCATTCTTCCCACTGATCACCAATGTAAGGGGCATTCTTCCCACTGATCACCAATGTAAGGGGCATTCTTCCCACTGTCCACCAATGTAAGGGACATTCTTCCCACTGATCACCAATGTAAGGAACATTCTTCCCACTGATCACAAATGTAAGGAGCATTCTTCCCACTGACCACAAATGTAAGGAGCATTCTTCCCACTGATCACCAATGTAAGGGACATTCTTCCCACTGATCATCAATGTAAGGAGCATTCTTCCCACTGACCACAAATGTAAGGAGCATTCTTCCCACTGATCACCAATGTAAGGGGCATTCTTCCCACTGATCACCAATGTAAGGACCATTCTTCCCACTGATAACCAATGTAAGGGGCATTCTTCCCACTGATCACCAATGTAAGGGGCATTCTTCCCACTGATCACCAATGTAAGGGACATTCTTCCCACTGACCACCAATGTAAGGACCATTCTTCCCACTGATAACCAATGTAAGGGGCATTCTTCCCACTGATCACCAATGTAAGGGGCATTCTTCCCACTGATCACCAATGTAAGGGGCATTCTTCCCACTGTCCACCAATGTAAGGGACATTCTTTCCCACTGATCACCAATGTAAGGAACATTCTTCCCACTGATCACCAATGTAAGGAACATTCTTCCCACTGATCACCAATGTAAGGGACATTATTCCCACTGATTCCCAATGTAAGGGATATTCTTCCCACTAATCATCAATGTAAGGAACATTCTTCCCACTGACCACCAATGTAAGGGACATTCTTCCCACTGACCACCAATGTAAGGGACATTCTTCCCACTGATCACCAATGTAAGGGACATTCTTCCCACTGATCACCAATGTAAGGAGCATTCTTCCCACTGATCACCAATGTAAGGAACATTCTTCCCACTAACCACCAATGTAAGGGACATTCTTCCCACTGATCACCAATGTAAAGGACATTCTTCCCACTGATCACCAATGTAAGGAACATTCTTTCCACTGACCCCCAATGTAAAGAACATTCTTCCCACTGACCACCAATGTAAGGGACATTCTTCCCACTGATCACCAATGTAAGGGACATTCTTCCCACTGATCATCTTCAATGATCACCAATGTAAGGAACATTCTTCCACTGATCACCAATGTAAGGAGCATTCTTCCCACTGATCACCAATGTAAGGGACATTCTTCCCACTGATCACCAATATAAGGAGCATTTGCTACACTAATGACTATTGCTGAATCTGGGTGGGGCTGTGTTTGGCTCAGATCACATAGTCTGCAATTGCTAGTGTATAGTGCAGTCCTGAACATGCACAGAGATTCTCACAGCCTCATTAAAAATGGATGGAGGGACGGAGATGGTGAAATAAAACTTTTTCCATCACAGACAGAAGAGGCAATGGACGGAGCTGCTACAATAATTGACATTGCTGATTTTTGGGTGGGGCTATGTTTGGCTCGAATCACATAGTCTGCAATTGCTAGTGTATAGTGCAGTCCTGATCATATTCTCTTGGCCTCATTAAAAATATCTGGCATGGATCAGGAGGGCCGGAGTGAGCTTTTTCCCATCGCAGACAGTAGAAGCGATGGACAGATGGGCCCAGATTGAGATTTTTCCCATCGCAGACAGTAGAAGCGATGAACGGAGGGGCCCAGGATGAGCTTTTTCCCATCGCAGACAGTAGAAACGATGGACGGAGGGGCCCAGATTGAGCTTTTTCCCATCGCAGACAGTAGAAGTGATGGACGGAGGGGCCCAGATTGAGCTTTTTCCCATCGCAGACAGTAGAAGCGATGGACGGAGGGGCCCAGATTGAGCTTTTTCCCATCGCAGACAGTAGAAGCGATGGACGGAGGGGCCCAGATTGAGCTTTATCCCATCGCAGACAGTAGAAGCGATGGACGGAGGGGCCCAGACTGAGCTTTATCCCATCGCAGACAGTAGAAGCGATGGGCGGAGAGGCCCGGATTGAGCTTTTTTTCCGATCGCAGACAGTAGAAGCGATGGACGGAGGGGCCCGGATTGAGCTTTTTTTTTCCAATCGCAGACAGTAGAAGCGATGGACGGAGGGGCCCGGATTGAGCTTTATCCCATCGCAGACAGTAGAAGCGATGGACGGAGGGGCCCAGATTGAGTTTTATCCCATCGCAGACAGTAGAAGCGATGGACAGAGGGGCCCAGATTGAGCTTTATTGATCGCAGACAGTAAAAGCGATAGACGGAGGGGCCCAGAGTGAGCTTTATCCCATCGCAGACAGTAGAAGCGATGGACAGAGGGGCCCAGATTGAGCTTTATCCCATCGCAGACAGTAGAAGCGATGGACGGAGGGGCCCAGATTGAGCTTTTTCCCATCGCAGACAGTAGAAGCGATGGACGGAGGGGCCCAGATTGAGCTTTTTCCCATCGCAGACAGTAGAAGCGATGGACGGAGGGGCCCAGATTGAGCTTTTTCCCATCGCAGACAGTAGAAGCGATGGACAGAGGGGCCCGGATTGAGCTTTATCCCATCGCAGACAGTAGAAGCGATGGACAGAGGGGCCCAGATTGAGCTTTTTCCCATCGCAGACAGTAGAAGCGATGGACAGAGGGGCCCAGATTGAGCTTTTTCCTATCGCAGACAGTAGAAGCGATGGACGGAGGGGCCCGGAGTGACAAGAAGTATTCATTGTACTATTATTAGTAAGCCTTGACAAGCCCTTCCATCGTCTCTCCACCTGGTAATTCTGTCCTTCACCAACTGGAATTATCTGCGGAATTTGTCGGCGGAGCTGAACTCCCTCACCTCTTATCACGTCCTCCTCTGGGCTTGACACATCGCATTAAAGTGACACTCCGCACGCGGCGTCCCTCTCATTATGCCCAGGCCGGAGAGGAGAGCGTTAAGCCGGCGGTTACTAGGTAGCCGGAGTGGGAGATTGTCAATTGAGCGCTTTCAAAACACGCTTCAATTTAATTTCTATAGCAACGTTCGGCGATTCAGTGTGGAGGAAACAAAATTGCTATATATATATTTGCATCAATTTGACTAATAACCTGTTATTTTTGTCTTCTTTTTTTTTTTTTTTTTTTTTTTTTGGGACTTGAAGCAAATCTGTCGTATGTGAAGCAAGATCAAAGTGTTGTGGAGCAGACTGAGGATAGAGCTATCAAGGGTGCCAATACCGAGTAAGTAGCAGTCGTAAATCAGCATATTGGGGGCTTTCAAATCTGAAACTATATTTCCTTTTATGAGGTTGTGACCATAATAACGCCATGTCTAGGTGATGCTACACTACCTTTTATGAGGTTGTGACCATAATGACACCATGTCTAGGTGATGCTATACTACCTTTTATGAGGTTGTTACCATAATGACACCATGTCTAGGTGATGCTATACTACCTTTTATGAGGTTGTTACCATAATGACACCATGTCTAGGTGATGCTTTACTACCTTTTATGAGGTTGTGACCATAATAGCGCCATATCTAGGTGATGCTATACTACCTTTTACGAGGTGTGACCATAATAACGCCACGTCTAGGTGATGCTATACTACCTTTTATGAGGTTGTTACTATAATAACACCATGTCTAGGTGATGCTATACTACCTTCTTTGAGGTTGTGACCATAATAACGCCATGTCTAGGTGATCCTATACTACCTTCTTTGAGGTTGTGACCATAATAACGCCATGTCTAGGTGATGCTACACTACCTTTGATGAAGTTGTGACCATAATAGCGCCATATCTAGGTGAGGGTATACTACCATTTATGAGGCTGTGACCATAATAACGCCATATCTAGGTGATGCTTTACTACCTTTTATGATGTTGTGACCATAAAAACGCCATATCTAAGTGATGCTATACTACCTTTTATGATGTTGTGACCATAATATAATAACGCCATGTCTAGGTGATGCTATACTACCTTTTACGAGGTTGTGACCATAATAACGCCATGTCTAGGTGATGCTATACTACCTTTTATGATGTTGTGACCATAATATAATAACGCCATGTCTAGGTGATGCTATACTACCTTTTACGAGGTTGTGACCATAATAACGCCATGTCTAGGTGATCCTATACTACCTTCTTTGAGGTTGTGACCATAATAACGTCATGTCTACGTGATGCTATACTACCTTTTATGATGTTGTGACCATAATATAATAACGCCATGTCTAGGTGATGCTATACTACCTTTTACGAGGTTGTGACCATAATAACGCCATGTCTAGGTGATGCTATACTACCTTTTATGATGTTGTGACCATAATATAATAACGCCATGTCTAGGTGATGCTATACTACCTTTTACGAGGTTGTGACCATAATAACGCCATGTCTAGGTGATCCTATACTACCTTCTTTGAGGTTGTGACCATAATAACGTCATGTCTACGTGATGCTATACTACCTTTTATGAGGTTGCGACCATAATAACGCCATGTCTAGGTGATGCTACACTACCTTTGATGAAGTTGTGACCATAATAGCGCCATATCTAGGTATATCTAGGTGAGGGTATACTACCATTTATGAGGCTGTGACCATAATAACGCCATATCTAGGTGATGCTATACTACCTTTTATGATGTTGTGACCATAAAAATGCCATATCTAAGTGATGCTATACTACCTTTTATGATGTTGTGACCATAATAACGCCATGTCTAGGTGATGCTATACTACCTTTTATGATGTTGTGACCTTAAAAATGCCATGTCTAGGTGATGCTATACTACCTTTTATGATGTTGTGACCATAAAAACGCCATGTCTAGGTGAGGGTTTACTACCATTTATGAGGCAGTGACCATAATAACGTAATATCTAAGTGATGCTATACTACCTTTTATGATGTTGTGACCATAATATAATAACGCCATGTCTAGGTGATCCTATACTACCTTTTATGAGGTTGTGACCATAATAACGCCATGTCTAGGTGATGCTATACTACCTTTTACGAGGTTGTGACCATAATAACGCCATGTCTAGGTGATGCTATACTACCCCTTTTATGATGTTGTGACCATAAAAACGCCATGTCTAGGTGAGGGTTTACTACCATTTATGAGGCAGTGACCATAATAACGTAATATCTAAGTGATGCTATACTACCTTTTATGAGGATGTGACCATAATAACGCCATGTCTAGGTGATGCTATACTACCTTTTATGAGGTTGTTACCCTAATAACAACATATTGCAGTGATTGTACGTTACCATAACTATGCCACGTCACATTCAGTGATGTTACATCACATTCACACTCAAGTCATCTGGGATTACTGATCAATAAAGGGGTGACCCCCACCCCTACATTCATCTCTGCTATATCTGAGAACTTCTTTGGTGACTATCTGTGCCATGGTTAGGATGCTGATGCAGCAACCGCTGGATTAACGCAAATGCAATCCATACAATCAGGGAGAGCCCGGAGACCTTTCCTGGCCACTGACTGGCTGTTCATGGCCATTTGCAGTTCTTCACAATCAGGGCCCCATACAGGTTAGAAACCACAGGGCCCCATACAGGTCCCCCCACCCAAAGAAAAAAAGAAAACACAGTTTACTATACTTCAGTTATGAATGAACACAGCAAGTGATCGGTACGGATAAGCGACCTATTCTAATGGTGGCGATGGGAGCCGGGGAGGAGTGCTGGTGGCGGTGGGAGCGCCCAATTTTAGTGTTGCCTAGGGCAACGCAACTAAATACCCCGCTGAATGCGCCTAGATGTTAGGCACATTTGGCACTTTCATTCATCTCAATGGCCAGATAAATTCACATTCTGGCCAATGGAATAAATGAATGCCCAATCACTTGATGTACCTAAACGCGCCTAAAAGCTCTTTAGGTGCGTTTTTTTAAGCTTCTTTTTTCCTGCCAAGAGAAAAGATTTTCAGGTGAGCTGGACAAACGCTCGATGTGCACGAAGCCTGAACGAAAAATCTACTTTTTTTTCTAAAGCCAGAACTTCCTGAGATGGCAAAATCTTTTCTGTAAAAGAATCCAAAATCCAATTCCTTCTTCAAGTGGAGGAGTAATTTCATTTCTAATCTTCCGACTCTCTACCAA